AGCACTTCTTTGCTGCTTGACCTTGGGCAGAATTCCTGGCATGCAATGGGTCCCCAAAAAACGTTCGTTGCCTTTGTTTCTCTTCTACCTTATAGTGCATTGCAAGGATTAGTCTTAGACCACAGAAATGCCTGGCTTCACTTCACTTCTGCCGTTGCATGGAGAGGCAGGGAAACCCCACAGTTTAAGTGTACGTGTGGCCTTGATCAAACCACCTAACTCTTCTGTGATTGGAAACAATGGCTACCTGGACCTCCAGGGATTAGAGAAGGACTATGTATAGAGTGCCATTTGCTTGTTTTTCCCTTCCCAAATGCCATGGACCCTTTTCACATTTTTATCCCCCAGGGCAGTGGACACAGAAGCCTGCACTGTATTGGTTTGCCTTTGCTTTGGAGAGAAGTTAGCCAGTTGAAAATAATTGTTAGAGCTGGAGGTCTTAATGCCAATAACAACAATATCGTAGCTAACATGTATAAAGTGCTTGGTCTGTACTCAGCACTGTGGTAGGTATACAGTAAGCAGCCACTATTGAGCAGACCTAGGAGGTGCAGAGAGATTAAGTAACTTGCCCATGGTCATAACTGGTGGTGTGGGATTTGAACCTGGGCTGTCCCATTCTTAACTCCCAGGGGCTTGTGGTAAAAATGAATGTAGAGGCCTAGGGATTCTAGACATTCCAGACCACAGGGATGCACCTGGACCAGGTGAGTGATTTTCATGTGCACATGTGATTTCTGATTTTGAGCCCTAGGAGATCACTGCATTTCTGACAGGTTTGGGGCCTCTGGCAGTATTTCCTTGGGTGGCTTTATATATTTTATTTTCACTCTGATGGGGAATCGCACAAATTAAAGAGAATCCTGCTCTGGCTGTTGATGAAGGAAGGAAGCAGGAAAGTGGGCTTTCACAGAGGAGTCATTCCTGGCCTGGCAGTGAGGCTGTAGCTGCAGGTTTGTTATGGAGAGTGAGTGAGATTCAGAGGTGGCTGAGCCAGGAGCCAGTGGACTTGAAATTGAATCCCTCCTCGAGCACTTCCCCTGGGACTGGCCTTGGAAGAAGATCTTTCCCTCTGAGCCTCAGTGCTCTGGTGAATGGAGCCACCTTTCCTTTCTTGTTAAGGACCAAAGGATGAAATGTCAGTTGCTTAATGGCTTAGACCACACTTGAGGCTCAGCAGGTGGGTATGGGTTTGAGACTGGAGAATTCTTCCTGGCCCTGGCGGGGGTGCTGTGTTCTCCTCTTTGTCTCTTGAAGAAGATAAAGAGAGTGGTGGCTTTGAGTCTCTGCCTGCCTGTCTCCAGCGGCAGAGCGAGGAGGGCATGAGCTCATGTAGAAACCATGCACAGGGAAGGGAAGTGGCTGTCCCTGTCACATGCAGCCAGGATGAGGACTCATGATACCTTGTGACTTCCCACTAGTGCTCCTCCCACTGTCGGCTCTGAGCCTCTCCGACATGTTGAGTGCTCCAAACACCGCCTGTGCTCCCTCCACCCTATGAGACCCCTTCTCTTAATCCTCATTCACGGCTAGGATGGCCACAGGTGCCTGTCTGAGGTCAGGGTGGTCTCACTCAAGTGCGCTTTTCTCCTGTAGAGAGATGGCAGCCAGGGCGGGGGTGGTGGGCTGAGACCTGCACAACGTCAGGTTGTTTCTCTACAGAGAACGAGCTTTTCTTCCTGCCACGAGAGAGGCACTGATAAAAATTATAATCATGGCCCCACATCAACAACAAAAAATTAAAAAATTAAAAGAGCATTGCAAGGTAAGACAGGGCAGTCTGTTGACATCCAAGAAAAGCAGTGGTGGCAAGATACCTTAGAAAACATCTAGGATCATTGTGCGTGTCATTAAGGGTAGGTGCTAAATTCTTGCTATTCAGATGCTGGTCAGGAACCAGCATCAGCGTCACCTGGGAGCTGTGAGAAATGCAGAGCCCAGGCGCCACCTCAGACCTGCTGAATCTGAGCCTGGCTTTTCACAACACCCAGGGGGTTCGTGTGCACAGGGCAGCTTGAGAATTGCTGCACTAAAAATGGATCCTAGTGAGATGATGGAGATTTTTATTTTCTTTGTACATTTATGACCAAAAAAAAAAAAAAAACAAACCCACGAAAAACAAAAAACAAAAAAACAACCAGCAAAGGCATTTATTTTGGGGGGTGGGAGGACCTTCTTAGGTTTCCAGCTGGCATTGCCCAAGGGCAGGTGGGGTTGTTGGGTGCAGTACTTGGGAAAAGGAAGAAAGCAAGCCTGACTTCCCTATTCTGGTGTTAGAGAAGAGTAGAAACTAAACCTTGCGCTGAACAAAGAGCAGGACTTACTGATAGACACAGGTGTCAGGAGAGATGTTCCAGGGCCTTGGGCGGGTGGGGTCTCCGTCTTGAGTGACACTTCAGGATGGCCTCTTGTCTGGTGGGAATGATGTGTAGGCTGTCCTTCCTCAAGACCTCTTCCCATAAAATAACAGTGGCAACATTTGGGAATCATCTGTCTTACTGTGTCCACAGAGTATCTGGTTTTATCTCCAGGCCTGTGTGGTGGGAGTTCTAACTCGGGCATTTGAGGGGCACGGTCTTGAGTCAAGGTCACAGTTCCACCAGTTAGTATCCGAACTTGAACAAAAACTGATCCCGTTATCATGATCCACAAGAGCCTTTGTGATTGCCCCTGCCCGCCTGTATGGCCTTTACTTCCCTTTTTTGCTTACGTTACAGCAGACTTCCTTCTGGGCCTGGAAAGCCAGAAGCCAAGTGTGTTCCTGCCTTCTGGGCTCTACTCTGGATGTTTGCTCTGCCTGGAACCCTGGTCGCCCATACCTTTCCATGGCTGCTCCTCTGCTTGCTCAATGTCACCTGGGCAGAGAGGCCTCCATGACTGCCGTGGCTGACATGGCCCTCTAGCTTCCTCCCTGTCTCATCAGCCCATTTGGTTTTTCTTCCTGGTAGGACTCTAATATCATCTCATTCATGTCTTTACTTAGATTCTATTTGTTCATTCCTAATAGGATTTTTGCTCCATGAGAAGATGGCTCTTTTATAGCATTTAACCCCTGTGTCCACAGCCCTTAGAATATTGCCTGGCACACAGTTGAAGGTAAATACATACTGAATGAGCCAATGCACACAGTGATTTGTCCTCTCAGAGCTCCATTTTCCCCATCTGTGGTATGGGGATCTAATACCTGGCGCGCAGGGTGGTTGTGAAAATTATGACATAATGAATGCAGAGTATTCAGTTGAGTGCCTGGTATACAGGAAGTGCTCAATAAGGTTACAGTTGTTATCCACCTGGTGGCCCTGGGATGACTCAGATGAATCGCTGACCACGTCTGAGGCGATGCCCTGCTGGTGCTCCCTGGTGAAGCCCGAGTGGAGCTGCCCAGGGAAGAAGCAGCTTGGTGGCAGCTCAGGACCTGCGATGGGGAGCATCTGCTCCTGGAACTCTGACTCTGAGCCTCCTTTGAAACAGCTGCATTCTGTGTGAGGTGTATCCTCGCAGGCGGCGTGTCTCTGTTGGTTGGAGTCACTGGGTCTCCTGTGGAGGGTCAGATGCAGCTCTGACTATGTCCTGTCTGGGACTTGAGGAGTCCTTGCCCAGACCTCTCTGAGTGAAAGTTCCAGGTGCCATGTGTATCAGTTGTGAAAGCTTTTGGCTGCAAGTAACAGCCCAATGTGTTTTGAACAAAAGGAGGTCTTCGTTGTGTTAGAGTTAGTAGATTTCTAAAAAAATGACATCAAGGCTGGTGTCTTTGTGATTCTCTTGGCTTTCCCTCCAGGATTGTTGTTTCATGGCAGCAAGATGCTACTGGGCCCCACCCAGTGTGTTTATGATTAGCATAAAGGCTGGAAGAAGGAAGGAAGCCATTAGTATCTTTTCTTTTATCAGAAAGGCATAATTTTCTCAGAACCCTCCCAGTGCACTTCTGCTTACATCTTATTAGTAGAACTTCTTAAGGTCAGCCTATGAGAGGCCTGGGAAGGAGTAATTAGGTATTGCAGTGGCTTGGAAAAAGGGTGCTGGAGATGATGGTGAGATCCACCAACAAGCAGTGCCTGCATATACTTGGAAATATATATATTTCCAGGTATATGTATATGTATATATTTAAATATATTTTTATTGATATCTGAGAGAAAGGGAGAGGGAGAGAGAGACAGAAACATCAATGTTGAGAGAGAATCATTGATCAGCTGCCTCCTGCACTCCCCTTATTTGGGATCGAGCCCGCAACCTGGGCATGTGCCCTTGACTGGAATCAAATCCTGGACCCTTCAGTCTGCAGGCTGATGCTCTATCCATGAACCAAACCAGCTAGGGCAGGAAACCTATATTTTAAATTAACTATTGGTTCTCAACTGGGGATAATTTTGCTTCTCAGAGGCCATCTAGAGGCATTTTAAAAAAAGTTATATATATATATTGCTTTTTACAGAGAGAGGAAGTGAGAAGTATACATTGACCAACTGCCTCCTGCACGTCCCCTGCTGGGGACTGAACCTGCAACCCAGGCTGACTGGGAATCGAACCAGCAACTTTTTCGGGCAGGAGGATGACACTAAACCAACTGAGCCACACCAACCAGGGCTAGCGACGTTTTTGTTGCCACAACTAGGGTGTGCACGTGTGTACGTGTATGTGCATGTGCACACTAATGTATTTAGTGGGTTGAGGCCAGGGATGCTGCTAGTCACCCTACAATTCATAGGGTAGCCTCCACCATCTGGCCCAAATGTCAGTAGTGCCAAGGTTGAGAAACCCCGAGTTAGACTGTTCTAGACACATTCTTCAAATTTGGGGACCATAGTTTAGATGCTTTCCCGGGTGCAGGGACCGAGAAATGGTGAAATTTCATTGTGATAATGTAGATTATTGGGGCCGGTCTAGATTTTATTAAAGAGAAGGTTGATCCTAGTTGGGGACAGCTATATACTATATGACAGAAAGTCTTACTAGAAGTCTAATGTGAAACAGAACTAATTAATCTTGTTGTATTTCAGGGTCACAGAACAATGACATGAAAAGACAATTTCTGCTAGAGCGACTGCTGGATGCCGTGAAGCAGGTAAGAGGGAAGCTCATATTTGACCTTGAGATCTAGTAACAGTGTTAGAGAATTAATGGAGAAATCGTTTCTGCCTTATATGTAGACAGACTTACTCTCATGTTGTATCTGGGAACAGTGAGGCCAGTAGTTCCCGCCCCCCTCCCCAAATGAGAGAGCAGGGAAGGCAATCAGAGGTAGGGACAGAGAGGTTCCTCTCTACAGCCCTCTGGGGACCCTGTCATTCAGGGGTGTCCCTTAGAGTTGATGTGGGTTTCAACTCCTCTGGGTATGTACCAGCCATGGTGGTTGGGTTAGGACTTTGAGCATGAAACAGAGACGAGGAGGAATGAACCATGCCCAGGATCGATGGTGGGGATCCTTCAGGTGGGCTCTACTCTGGTTTGTTGATGCTATTTAAAAAAAATATGTATTTTGTTGATTCTTTTATTTATGTATGTATGTATTTATTTATTTAAAAATATATTTTATTGATTTTTAACAGATAGGAAGGGAGAGAGAGAGAGAGAGAGAGAGAGAGAGAGAGAGAGAGCTAGAAACGTCGATGAGAGAGAAACATTGACCAGCTGCCTCTTGCACACCCCCTACCGGGGGATGTGCCCGCAACCAAGGTACATCGAACCTGGGACCCTTCAGTTCACAGCCCGACGCTCTACCACTGAGCCAAACCAGCTTCGGCCTGTTGATGCTATTTTGATGCCTGGTTTTTGGCTGGGTGGGAAGTGAGCTTTGACATGAGCTGGCTTAAGTTTGCTTATCTGCAAATACCACATGCATCATTTATTGCACATTCAACATGTGTGAGGACCTCTGCTAAGTGCTTTACATTTAATCCTTCCCACCACCCGTGAGGTAGTTCCTACAATTATTTCCATTTTATGGCTAAAGAAACTGAAGCTCAGAAAGGCCGAATAACTTGCTTAAGGTATCACAGTTAATAAGTAGCAAGCAGAGCTAGGATCCAGTCCTGGGAATTCTGGTAGCTCACATTTCAGAAGGGGTGACTGACAATCATATGCATGTAATCACAGTATAGGGAGATAGGAGATAAATACTTTAATAAAGGTGTGTGTTACTTGTTGATTGTGTTAGGTGAGCTTGGGAGACTTCACCATCTGCCCAAACTTCAAGGTGTCCTGATACAGTGCAAACAACACAGGCCCAGGTGTAGCTGAGTCAAAGGCCAGTTTCATTTCTTCCCAGCTGTGTGTGCTTAGGCAATTCATCTAGCCTCTCTGGGCATCCTTTGCTGTAATCTGCTCACTGATCTCCACAGGGCTGTTGAGCAAATTGCCTTTATTAAAGTAGGTAAAGGCCTGGCCAGCCCTTATGTAAATTCAAAGCATACATATTTGTTTTTTCTTTCTTTACTCCAGAAATGGAAAATATGACAAGAGGCTACTAGCCAGTTTGGCTCCATGGATAGAGCATCAGCCTTCGGACTGAAGGGTCCTGAGTTTGATTCTGGTCAAGGGCACATGCCTGGGTTTCAGGCTTGATCCCCAGTAGGGAGCATGCAGGAGGCAACCTATTAATGATTCTCTCTCATCATTGATGTTTCTATCTCTCTCTCTCCCCCTTTCTCTCTGAACTCAATAAAAATATATTTAAAAAAATAAAATATGACAAGAAGATGTGGAGGCAAGTGGAACCACTTTAAGTATAGTTAAACAGAAATAAATTGGAGCTTATGCCCAGATCTGCCATAATTGGTATTATTATTTGGGGGGAGCGAAAGTGTTGTATATGTATGCCTTTTAAACATCAACTTTATTGAAGTATAATTTTCATACAGTAAGAAAAACCAATTTTGAGCGCAAAGTTCTATAAGTTTTGACAAATGTATCATTGAAAAAAATATATAATAAGTTCAGGAATCTTGTAAGCCTGCTACCCACTCTTTAAAAGAGAAGAGTGGATAGTAGTGATGGGTGCACAATATTGTGAATTGAATTGTACAACTAGAAATGGTTAAACTGGTAATTTTATGTTTACTATATTTTACTGTAATTAAAAATAAAAGGAGAATAGTTTGCTTTTGTTTGTACCCACCCTGAGAAAATTGTCACTCAGCACAATCAGACGACTTCTTTGGAGTGTTAATTTTTTTTTTATTCTCACCCAAGGATATGTTTTTATTGATTTTAGAGAGAGGAAAAGAAAGTGGGGGTGGGGGAATAACATTGATGTGAGAGAGACACATTGATCAATTGCCTCCTGTACATGCCTCGATCTGGGATTGAACCTGAAACCTAAGGATATGCCCGGAACAGGAACACACAATTGTGAGCACATAATTTTTTGGTGTATAGCACAACGCTCCAACCAACTAAACCACCTGGCTAGGGCTGAAGAGTGTTTTATACTGTCATAATTTCCTAGCCATTCATAACAACCTTGGGCCCTGTCAAAAGGGACCCATCATTGCAGATTTGTGGAAGTTTTAATTATTGCCTATTAAGAGCCCTGTGTTATGGACAGCCAGCTGCTGACACATAAAGTTTCCTAGATAATGTGCAAAAGTTGTGTGCTTCTGTTTTCCTCTTAGCATTGTTTTCCCACAAGGCTCACTCTGTACAGTGGAAGGGAGATAAGGACTTCCTTTAAGTGGTGGCTGGAAGGCTGGGTGTCCACTGTCTTATGTCTTGGGCTGACACCCAGGGCAAAGGGACGCCCTGATTCTGCACCCAGAGTTTCTGGCCCTGTGTCTCCGGCTGACCCTGAGGTCTGTGTGGACTGTTTTATGACAGTTGAGGGCCCCATCCCAACAGCTGATCTCAGCGGCTTCTTTTTCTGTTCAGTGCCAGATCCGCTTCGGAGGGAGAAAGGAAATCGCCTCGGATTCTGATAGCAGGTAAATATGTTGCTTCTACAACCATTTTCCTTTAAGAGCATAAAGGTGGCTAGAGATGACCAGCTTCTGTGTTTGCCTCCGCAGCCAGTGAGTGAGTAAGTCTGGGTGGCCTGTAGCCCGTCTGGGCAGTGACTGCTCTGACATACTCCCAGCTTCCCACAATTCTCCTTCTTGGAATCTACTGAGGGAATTACTGGAAATACCTGCTGCATAAAGTTACTTGCAGGGAAATTTATATTGATGAAAACTTGGAAATTTAAATGCTTGACAGTTGGGAAATGGTTAATAAAGTATAGTGTATCAGTAGAGTAGAATATTATGTAGCCATTAAATTGATGTCTGTGCAGAATTTTTAAACAATGTATTTTTATTGATTTTAGAGAGAAAAGGAGAGGGAGAGATAGAAGCATCAAGAATGAGAGAGAATTATTTTTAAAAATATATATTTTACTGATTTTTTTTACAGAGAGGAAGGGAGAGGGATAGAGTTAGAAACATCAGTGAGAAAAACATCGATCAGTTGCCTCCTGCACACCCCCTACTGGGGATGTGCCTGCAACCGAAGTACATGCCCTTGACTGGAATCGAACCTGGGACCTTTCAGTCTGCAGGCCGATGCTCTATCCACTGAGCCAAATCATTAGGGCAAGAGAGAATTCTTGATCACCTGCCTCTTGCACACTGCCTACTGGGGATTGAGCCCACAACCCAGGCATGTGCCCTTGACAGGAATTGAACCTAGGACCTTTCAGTCTGCAGGCTGATGTTCTATCCATTGAGCCAAACCAGCCATGGCTGTGCAGAATTTTTTTTAAAGCAGAAAATATATAGGTAGAATTAAAAATGATACATTTAGTAAAAATAATGTGAGCAGGATGCAAAATTATATGGATACAAAGTGATCCTAGTTATGTTAAACAACTCTGGCAAAAAAATGTACCAACATGTGAACAGAGGAAATATTGGAAACCTTTATATTTTCTGATATTTTAAATATATTTTTTAAAAAGGAGAGTCATTTACTTATTTTTAAAATTTATTTGTTGATTTTAGAAAGAGGAAGGGAGAGAGAAAGAGAGAAACATCCCTTTGTTGCACTTATTTATGCATTCATTTGTTTCTTGTATGTGCCCTGACTGGAGATAGAACCCACAACCTTAGAGTATTGGAACAATACTCCATTTAACAACTGATCTAACCGGCCAGGATCTGTTTTTCATATTTTATACTGTGATTGTGTTTCTTTTATAATTTAAATAAATTCCTGAAAGTTCCCATTGACCTTCATGATCCAGGAAAGGCTGACATAATCACATAAATTTATAACATTGGGAGGCGACACAAAGGTTTGGGCAGCGAGAAGAGACATTTCCAGCATTTGCTGGAAAGGCTGTGTGAAGTCAGCAGCGCTGACTCATGCCCTGCAGCGTGGAGAGGCAGGAGGCACGACCCTGCAAAGGAAGCGAAGGGAAGGGGACGCCTTGCTCAGCGCTCATCTCATCCTGGAGGCTTTCCACACCCCGCACCCTCTTATCCCAACCCACCCAGCTCCCGCTTCTCTGTCCTCTCACACCCTTGTTCTCTGTGACACTTAGAGAGCATCCTAATAGAGCCGTGGGGACCATTTGAAACTGGTGCATATTGAAGATGGTACCCTGTCCCTTATAAACTGTCCCTCTTTGTTTCCCCCCATAACACGATGTGCTTTTCTATTCCCGTACCGTATCATCAGCTCGGTGTGGGCATGATGTTATTATGCTGTCTTGTTCACCGATGTAGTCGCAGTTCCTAGAAACATCTAGAAAGTGCTCAGTGAAGATGCGTGGTCTGGTTGAGTGTGTACATTGCACAGCACCACAGTGAAGTGTTTAAATAACTGTGCCACCACAAGCTTTGAGGGAAGAGGGCAGCCTCTCCATTTTTTTTTTTTTTTTTTTTTTTTTTTTTTTTTTTTTTTACTTCTCAGCGTTTTGTACAAACATCTTATGCCTGTCATGCGTTAGGTTCACGGTGTACGTTTGTGGCATTTAAATCATTAGGTATGGCTTCAGTTCTCCCGGCGGGCTGTTAGTGTGTCCTGGCAGGCTGGCACGAGAGTGCATGGGCTCTCAAGGCCGGGCTTTGAATCCCGGCTCCTCTTCTCTTCAGCTGTGTCCCTTGCCTTAACCTCCCTGAGCCCAAGAATTATGTCTGCTGGGATACTGTGATTTATAAGAATGACAGACATTTATTCTTTGTCCCCATTTCTGGTACTGAGGTCCTAAAACCCCTGGGATTTTCAAAGTGATGATATCCATAAAGGTGTCTTATTATTCACCATAGTGACTTTTGGAAAGCACTGAAGATTAGGGACTGGTTTCCAGGAGAACCATATGATTAGAGGGTTGGAACTTCAGTCCCACACCCCTCTGGGAGGACGGGAGAGGGAGTGGAGATTGAGTTCAGTTGTCAGTGGCTAGTGATTCAATCATTCATGCCCGTGTGGTGAAGCCTCCATGAAAACCCAAGGACTGGTGTCCGAGAGCTCTGGGTGCGGGGAGAGGGGTCCTCTCTGAGAGAGCTGGTAGCTCCAGGCCCTTCACCACTCACGTCACCCTGTGTGCTTCTTCCATCTGGCTGCTCTTTTCCTAATAAACTGGTGATCTAGTAAGTAAGATGTTTCTTCGAGTTCCGAGAGGCCCCCTAGCAAATTAATCAAACCCAAAGACGGGCTCATAGGTACCTCTGAGGTACATAGCTGGTCGGTCAGAAGTACACATAATAACCTGGAGTTGCATCTGTCGCCTGAAATCAGGGGCTGGTACCGTCTTGTAGAACCGAGGCCTTAACCCGTGGGACCTGACACTGTCTCCGGGTAGATGTGTCAGAATTGAGTTGAATTGTAGGACACCCAGTGATGTTGGAGAATTGCTTGGTAATGTGGGGAAAACCCAAACATCGATATCTACCTAACCAGTTGTGAGGATTAAGTTACACGCTGTGTGTAAAATGCCAGAGACATGTAGGAGTGTTACTTTTATTCCATACTAGAGGCCCATGCATGAAATTCATGCACAGTAGGGTTCCTAGGCATGGCCGGTGATCAGGGCTGATTGGGGTCTTCCGGCTGTCCACCAGGGCCTTCTTTCATTCCATGCCGCCCTCTGGTGGTCAGTGCATGTTATAGCAGCGATCGAACTCCGGTCTCCCGGTTGAGGGGACACTTTGCATATTAGCCTTTTATATATATAGATAAGGAGGCCCTTGCCCCTCAGGGAGTGAAGTCTGGCTGGGATAAATGTTACTCAGCTTGTGACCCCTATCCATGCAGGTAGTAGACTGCAAATAGGTGGAAGGGCAAAAGTGAATTAGCAAGCTTTGTTACTGTTCTTTTTGTTGGTAAAGGAACAATTGAAGATGGATTTCTTTCCATGTAACTCTGGGCAGAGTTCTCAGTCTTTGGAAAATGAAACATGTTCACATGTTTCTTCCCACATTGTGTCCTCCAGGAATCTAAGTCAGTATGTCCACTAAGAAGATAGAAATAACTGGAAGAGGTTTTCCATAAAAGGCCAAGAGTTATCTTCGAATGCATTTCACATTTACTGCGTTAGGAAGAGTTTTAGGCAGGATGTGAGGTGTTGGTTACGGAGCACAGCTGGTCGGATGGACAGCAGTAGGAACCTTTGAAAGAATGTCTGCCAGGGCTCAGTGGTAAAAAGCAACAGAAGTCTGCTCCTGTTGTGGATATTGTGACCTTAGGGAGTTGATGGCAGGCCAGGTTTGGGAACAGGAAGGATTTAGGCAGCTATGGAAGGCTAGAAGCTGGAAATAAGAGTCCAGAAATGGTCTCCTAGAAGGAATGGTGACCCAATTAAGGCCACCGTTGCTGAAGTGAACGCCAGCTGTTTTCCGACTCTCTCCTCCTGCTCAAGGTTGGCATTCCAGGAAGGAAGCACCTGATTGCTCAGTCTCACGTCACTTGGCCATCTCCTGGCCACTGGCAGAAGGATCCGGCTGAAGGAGTGTCTTGGGACTCCGATGGCTTGTGTAGTGCAAAGATGTCTACTTGGGTTCACCATCCCATCAAGATAATGTCCAGAAAAGAAGAAATTAATCTTCAAAAATGACATCCGGGTGCTGTTAGGAAGGTGGATAAATACATGGTGGCCAACATACCCCACTGTTGTCCCCTGTTGCTGCTCTAACGGAATGATAATCTTTCTGTGACAGCCTTGTCTGGCTTAAAAATGTTGGTGTCTGTGTTATCAGTCTCATTTGATCCTCAAAAGAACCCAAGGAGAGCGAAAGGGGGGTTCGTTTTCGACTTTTCACAGGCAGACAAGTTTGGAGGCTGGTCACTGGTGCAGCATTTGTTTGCCATTTCCCGGGCACATGCCTTGTTCGGTGGGTCTCATAGTTGGTAGGTAGTAGAATGGGACTTCATGTCCCAGTGTGGTCCTTGCTCACTGACACTATATCCCCTTTTGTTTTTCTAGCAGAGTTCCTAGCAAGTACTTAACATTATTTTAAGTGTTAAAAAAGTCACTGCATTAAATTCCTTTCAGTTGCCTAGTGGCTCAGTTACTAGTATTTTTCCTTTAAATTCTCTTTGTCTTACTGATATTGGGGGAAAGACTTGGTTTGGTGTTGATAATATTAAATTGAATTAGATGAAATTGCCAGTATTTGATTGTTTTGACCTATAAAAATAACAGCATTGTACAGTTCAGAATTATAATAATCTCTAGCAGCCCTTTCTCTTCAAGAAGAGTGTGTGGGTTCCAGGCTCAATCTCCCTTTAGGGCTCTCTGGAGCCCATCATGCAGGCTTTCTATTTGCAGTAGCAGTAGAGTTTTCCTTGTAAAACAGGTTTATGTGAAAAAAAGTGTGTGAAATTCAAGACAAGTAACTAATACATATTCTGTTTGTGACTGGAGTTTGGGAAGAGTGCTGGTAGGACTGAAGCTGATGTTTGGTTTTTGGTCCTACGTAGTGCACATTATTTAGCTGCTAAAACC